AATTTCGAATAGCTCAATTTTTCTGATGTTTTAGATAAAATTAAGTGCTCATGTCCGTTCTCACGAATAATCAAACTACGTGTGTTAATGCACTAAAGCAATAAAATATTTTAATTCTAGTTAATTTACATAATTTTATTATAATAATCCATCTCCCAGGATTTAAACCAAAAATTTTTTTAAAGAAAAATTTGATTTTTTGCAGCACAAATAACATTAATCAAGTAGTCAAATTTATTTAAAAATTTTTCAAAGTATAATTTTCTATTTTGAACACTCGAGAAATTTTATAAAAGCAAAATTCCGCGTACAAGAATTACTGTTGTTAAATCAAGGATAAATAAGTATAATATTAATATCTCTGATACGTTTGTTATCTCTGGAATGATACGATTCGAACTGAATTATTTGTTATAAAGTACATTATCGATTAATTATATTGCATATGAATTAACTAAACATTAAACAGATAATTGCCGGCGCAACAGAGAATTAAATAGAAATTTACTCTCGTTCGTTTATTTTATTATGTACAATATTTCAAACGAGTCCCAGAAAATCGAGCATGCTCGCACGAGAGCCATTATTATTTCGCAGAGGCAACATTAATCTCGAATAATGACACTCGACGAATTATTAGCGTTGAAAAAAATCACAATGCGTTCCATCTACGCGATTCTAAGCATTATATCTACGCGTATACGCGAAATTATTGCGGTAAACGCGAACTATTACGACTGTATTACATGCATGCTTAGAAATATATTGTATATATATATATATATATATATATATATATATATATATATTTCGACTGCACACTCAAATTAATCTATGGTTTTACATGAGCCGTTTTGCGCGAAGTTTATGTAGAAACCGTAATAATGTTTTGCTGCGACGCTTGCGCTGGGCGGAATGTCGGATGAAAAGAGATATTGAGTTACGCACAAATTCTATAAATTGATATGCAGATTTGTAACTTTAATATTAATGTTTAAATACTCGCGCGTAATCTCGTTACATATATTATATATCGCAAAATTGGGAACGGGTCAAATTAAAATGTATTCCAATCTATCTGATTTTGATTGCACAGAAATTTATCGCGCTTATCGCACGCATTTAAATTAGACAAATAAAACCGCAGATTTTCAAACGGTAATATTTAACTGCCGCATGCGTAGCGAAATTGCGAACAGTCTCGAGAGAAAGATGAGCGTTAATAATGATGGATATAAATAACGATGGTCTTTATCTCTTATGGACTAATACAAGTCGTCCAGGTATCATTAACGACAGTTTTCGCACGTGTATCATCGCGAGTAATTTTTGCAAGCGGGAAAGATCTCTTTTAACCGACATCACACACCGTTTGTGATGTTTCTACGTCAATAAATGTACAAGAAGAAGAGAAAGGAAAGGAGAGAGAAAGAGAGAGATGCAGACGGAAGCGTCGAAGGACGACGAAGAGGTAGAAGTATAAAGTGAGCATATTACTATTGAGAATAAGTACCTGGCTTCGAGACGGGTACTCTACTCCCGAGAAGAGGGCGGACGGGGAATGGACGGCGGGGGTGCAAATGGGGTGGTACAATGGGCACTAATGGATCTCAAGCCGCCGCGAGAGGCGCTGCTTTTAATCTAATTGTCCTTCATAGCAACCGCGATCGCGATCAGTGGTATTCAACCGTGATCCTTCGTCTATGCTGCAGCATCCTGCAAAGAGAAGAAAACACCCCGTGATATCCGTTGGGACACACTTGCGCTTAAAGCCGGAAACTTTCTTCCTATTCTACCTCGGAAAATGTGTGGGTGTAATTCGTACCTCGTGCAGATGAGAAATTTTTCCGAGAAATATCAATTTCCACGATTCTTTTTAGATAAATACACAACGCTCAATAACTTTTCTAATTTTATCTTAATACTTATTTAGTATCGATTATAATAAATATGTTTTAAAGTCTCTTTCTCTCTCGATATGTTAATATAAAAATAATATAGTTCTATATTTATTGATAAATATATTTTAATGTTTTACAAACTGAAATAGATGTTCTTTTAATTTTTATTTTATATACACAAAAATGAAAGTCGATAAAATTGTGCTTAATGCTCGTTTTCCGATTTTATATCTCATTACATTAGGGAAGATTTGAACATTGAAAAATTCAGGCATTTTATATAATTTTTAATATTAAAAAATAGGCATTTTATATAATTTTTAATATTAAAAAATATAGATAATAATCTTTATTTAAAAATAGGAAACAAAGTAAAAATACTATTATATGAATAAATAGAATTATTTAAATACAGTTATTAGAATTACCTTTAACATTTTTCACATTGCATTAAATTTTGCGTCCATTTGCATGATAATAATAATAATGCAATTATTATTACAATAATTATTAGTGTATTTTTAAGATCCAAGCTTTCACAAAAATGCAAAATTATAAAAGTGTCATCTTAATTTATAAGATAAAAAGATATTTGATAGAAGGACACTTTTTTTAAAATAATTGTTCATCTAGCAACACTTATCTTCTATATCTTCCTTGTTTCTTCCCTGAAAACAATGTCAAAAGATTGTAGGACCGAAACCGAAATGTAGCAATACGGTGTGACGAACGAAATCGCAGCAAAGTAGACCTCGAGCATTTCTTTTTATACGTCTAGTGGTTCCATTTAGCATGGCATCTACTTTGCGACATGGTCGTTGAGCTAAAACGCAAGCGGCGCGTACTTGTCCAAATGTGGCAACGCAAAATGTCTGTACCGTGTTTCTCGAATGTGTTCCAACTCTGACACAACACTTTCTTTGCCTAAAAAACTCAAAAAATATGTACACACCTACTGTGTGTGTTGCCACTTGTGTCGACTTCTCCCTTTCATACATCTTCTCTCTTCTTTCTTTTATGCATATGTACTCCTTTCTCAGCTTCGTATAAATGATTAAAAAGCAGCGTTCGAATACGAAGGCGTCGATAAAACTTCACCTGTGAATTTCTCCATGAATTGTCCTGCGAAATGAAATATCATTCACTCGATCTACGTTATCCGTGCGTTCTATCGAGACCGCCAAGCAGGTGGTGCAATAATTACCTTCCCGCGCGATAACGCCAACGATAATTCTCGCGTTTGCCGTGCGGCCTTCGCCCTTCGCGCGACAGATAAATTTCTGATAACGCGGATAAATTGGCCGGATTGTAATTGCCGTTGTGCGTGTTACCGGCGTTCACGCCGGGGATGCGCCTGGTCTCCTACCCTCCTCCCCCTCTTCCTCTTTTGCCGAACGATATTCACTTTCGACTATTTCGGAAAATGCGGTCCGGAGGGAAAGGGCGGGGGCGCGATTAAACGCGCGGGCGTTTAGGATCCGTGGGAATTCGGGGCCCATGCGAGCTGCACCGTCAGCTGCGCGCGGAATTCAGGAAGTCGTAATGACGCGTCCGATACGCCAAATCTTTTCATGACTAATGACGCGAAAGCGATTTTATAGGACGCCCCCTCCCTCTTGTAAATTGCCATCGGACAGGGTGAATTAGGGTGGCTCGAGTACGAGTGCGAAAAAGCACCTGCGGCTTATTAACCGTGATACGTAAGCAAAGACCACTGTACTATGATACGTGAAATATATCTAGGTGTCGGAAAATGATTGCGTGCAATCAGTAATGATTCCCGACCTCTTTACATTTTCATCAGCTCTTTACATTTTCATGTCAAAATCGTCTTCAATTTATTTCAAATATTTAATATATCGACTAACCTTTTTCTATTTTATTAAAAATTATATAAATTTTAATAATTATCCGAGACTTATTTCTTAACTTTTTAAGACTGATTTTAGGAAAACTGTAAGTTTTCAAGTTTCAGTTGCCAGCGAACAACATTAGTTTCGGAAAAAATAGTTCTTCATGATTCTTCGTAAGTGCAATATATTTCTTTAACTTAATGAATAACCTACATATTTACACAAAGTCTATAATTGATATATATGGTACATATGTATATATAACATGCCTAATGGTAATATAATACATATATTTTACAAAACTTCTTCTTGCGCGTGATACACTTCATCTGATACAATACATACGCAGACGAGATTCTGTACAGCATTTGGAAAGAATTCTACAGCTGCACTTGTGTATCTACCTTTTTACATCCAGGCATAAAGGCAATTGTGACACAGAATAAATATGACAAAAAGTTTCATTTTTTTCTTTTTTTGTATATATTGTTATAACATTGAAATCAATAAAATTTTTTCACTTTTAAAATTTTTATAAATTATAAACTAAAACTTTATAAATTATTTATCATATATTAAAAATAATATATATTTTTTAATGTCATATTTAGCCCGATGTAACAATTAGCCTGATTCACCTCGAGAAATGAGTTTTCAATATCGATGAAACAGATTGTTATATCATCGTCGAGTAACAACGCGAGCAGTATTAAATAATTAAAATAACGATGTATAATATTATATAACGCTGCGCTATGTGTGATGTATTTCTGAAAATCTCATTTAGATGTTTCGCGAAAATGCTAATAGAATCAATGAATTAACTTATTGAAAACTGATAATACATTAAACAGCGAGAAAAAAGAGAGACAGATTTATATGTTTAATTAAAAGTACAAATTTTGATGAAAGGAAAAATAACTAAGTATTCTTTAGAAACTGCTAATGATTTCAATAATTTCTTAATTTTATTAATCACATTTATTCGATGAAGAAAGAGTATAAATAATATTTTATATGATAAATTTTCTAAATTTTGTAAATTATAATTTGTTAATCAAATATATGTGTTCTCTTTTTCTATGTTTAATTAAAAATATATTAACATAAATTATTAAGATTTGAATTTAACTTTTAAAGAGGAAAAATTATTAAAAAGTATTTTTCCATTTAAGATTTATTTAATATCTGTTATTGATATTATTCAAAATCATATATTTTCGTTTTTATTTTCAGATTGCTTCATCAAATAATAATTTCGAATTACTCGAATGATTGAGTTTCTCGACCTTTAGATTAAAAGAGCACGATCAGCAGCTAATTAATATTGATAAATAATAGTAAACTTAAAATTGTGTCTTACACAAACTCCTAATTCAAAGAATTGAAACGCGTGTCATTCAAGTTATATTGATCAATACGTCGCAAATAATCAAATTAATATCAAATATCATTTACTTCCTGCTCGAACATGTGCTACTCGATTCCTAAGCCTTGATCCTATAAAGTATTTTGGATGCAAAAATAAATTAATAAATTCTTTGGTATAATATCAAAAGTTGCTTTTCTTCGCAATTAACTTGAAAATCTGAAGTAAGTACGTTTCCTTCCGAAACATTTTGTAAATAAATATCCGTCGATATCGAATCATAAGTATAAACGATGCCAAGTAAATCTCTCCAAGCCTGACAATAACCAAGAGAAATCCTTTTCGCGTAGGCTGCAGATTTATGACGCGTGCAAAACATTTACGTTGGTATCAAATATGGGTGAGATTCCCGGGAACAAGTTTCTCATATTTACAAAAGTCCGTAAAAGAGCTCTCACAGTTAATTGTCCGCCTTACGTAGCGCCTCCTCCGCCTTCACTCTCAGCACTTCCGCGCTCTGCTTCCTGATCTCGTCGTCGGACGACGCCGAATCCTCGTCCTTGTCGTTCTTCGAGCTCAGGTTCTGCGGTATGCTCTGCACCCCCAGGTTCAGAGGATGCCCGCCGTGAAGATGGCCGCCCAGCGAGTGGCCGTTCACGTTACTGTGATTCAACGACGAGCTCGGGTTCAGGCAGTTGACTGGCAGCATTGTACTAAGCGACGCCAGATTCTGCGACAACGGCAATCCGATGTATTGCGACAAGATGGCGTGTAACGGTGGCAACTTGGGCGCGCTCGTGGGCCAGGGTGGCGGGAAAACCGGCGGGATGAACCAGGGAAATGCGCCGGTTGGCGGACCGGAAGAGTCCGCGCCCGGAACACCGCCGGCCGTTTGTAACAGACGCGCGTGGAGAGACAATTCATTTACGCCTGCGAACAAAAGTTGTGACGGATGTTGCGTGAGATTCTTCTGCGGATCAAACTTAACCCTCTGTTCCAAGTATTGATATCCTGATTCATCGATCCTATATTCATTTATTACGCGTATTTATTTAACATATTGAATACACATATTGAATAAGTATTATTTATTTATATCATATTTGAAGAACATTGTGCTTTTTTGATAATCAAATTTTATCATTGCATTGAAATATCTTCTCCTCATTTAAATATAAATCAAATTACTGGAACTCCAAAATTTTTTAGAAAAATTCCAAAGTGCATTAGCAGCACAAAAAGAGTTGACTTATTCTCGCTTTTAAGTATAACTTAATTATTTATGTATTTATTTTTAATCTAGAGAAAATTAATTCCTCCTTTCCATCTTCTCTTTAATTTTTCTTCTTTTTTATCAGAATAATATAAATGTGAGGTATCCATTTGTTTCTTCCTTTCTATCTAAACATTTGATTAATATCGCAAACGTACGGATTAACACCAAGAAAAAATTTACGAGTTTTTGCGATGAAATGTAATTAATAAAATTGATTAAAGATGTCACACAGGGTCACCAAGTCATTAGTGAACTTTTTTCTCGTCACCAATCCGGCTCGCCGTGTGTACAAGCCTTATATCCACAGAGCGTTTCATGAAAAATTAATCGGTCAGGTTTCTATTCTATATCATTCGCGCGTGATGGCTGCGACGGCCGACACTGAAATTAGACGTAATTGTCGTCGATTGCATCTACCCTTCATAATTCCGGACCTCGTCGCCCTTCTCTTGCACGTATTAGCGACGTAACACGCGCGTTACTACGTTACTGTGAAGCGAGCGAGCAAATGGTGGATGAAAACGAGCTTTCGCGATTGATCCGCGACAAATCAGTCCATTATCGTAGATACTAGCCACAGTTTCTCTTTTATATATAAATATCTTTTTTATCTAAAGCGCGACATCATAAATTACGGCGTAACAAAAAAAATGTTACAAGTCATATTTCACTCATAATGATTTTGTCGAATAAAATATCTAGCACGATTAATAATTAAACATACATAAAAATATCTAATATAATTAACAAATAAAATTATTTGCTTCATTAAAAAAAATTTCCTCTTTTCTATTTGTATTGAAAGGAAAAAGTCATTTATGCCACAATTTAAATTATTCGATTAATCGATTTTAATTATTATTCTTCGTAAACTCACCACCTTGTTCGACGTGCATAAAAGTAGTATCTCTGCCCAACGCCTTTTCCTTCTTGCGCCATTTTGCACGTCGATTTTGAAACCAAACCTGAAGCAAAAAAAAGGATGCTTCACGATCAATATTCGGTACAATCATGTTCATTATGAAATGTTATACAGCTATTTCCAAAATAATTTATTACGATACTTTGAATAAAAAATTATAATCGCTAATATATTAGTTCAATTAGTTTGTTGAGGGATTATAGTTCGTCATCGCTGTTGATCGGGAATTATCGGAATGTCAGGACATTCGTCACGAAAATTCAAAATTGGCAGGAAAGGGACGCGCATGAGAACCCCAGGCGCGCGTATCACAGCGGCCAACAAAAGCTTGCTCTCGAGGTTGATTAAGCTAATTGTTAACAATTATCCTGATTTCCTTCGTACCCCTGAGTGCCAGCAACCCCTGCCTTCGGTTCTATCCTCGTCTATCTCTGGCGACCCTATCGCTGGTCCGGTTGCCATATAAATGCTTTCGCTTTCCGCTCGAGTTGCTCCGATTTTTCATGGGTACCAGAAGAAGTAGGGGAATAAAAAAAAGAAGAGAAAAGAAGGAAAAAAGAAGTTTTTTTATTGCACCTTAAATGAAAGATATTCGATAGTAAATATATAGATTTAAAAAATAAGAATAGAAAAATATTTAAGAAAGATATTTAAGAAAATATTGAAAGATATAGATGTAGAAATAGATTTATGTAAATATACAATATTATTCAAAAAACACGGTGTTAAATAATTAATATTATAATTAAAGAAATAAACCGAGCAAGAATAGATTTATTAATAATAAAAATAAGAGTAAAATTGATATAATTTTCTTTACATTTGCATAATTTATTAATTTCTTTTCATAGAAGGTGCAAAATATTATGAATATCATCGAATACGATAACATTAGATGTAATGGACTTGAAAAATCGAATAAAGCTGTGACACAGCCAGTTGGATTGAAATAGATTAGCGAGTTAGTTCTCGGTCGGATAGCGGAATAAAATCAAGCGACGTGGGAAAATCGGGGACGTAAGCGGAGAGAAGCAAATGACATCGAGGAGGAAGAGAGGAATAACTTCAAGCGAGGGAAAGAGGTCAGGTTGCGGGAGCAGGAAATTTAATTGCCTAATTGCTGTTAATTATTTAATCGCTTCTGAATAGCCTTTAACGCCTAAGTGCTCGCAAACCTTGCGCTATTTAAGCGACCCACCGCGAGCTCGAAAGTTTGCAACGCCGACGCGTTTCTATAACTGCCCCATTAATCTCTCGAATCATTTACCATAGCGGTAATGCTTCTACAATTTACGCATTGATCTGAAGATTCTTCGTCGAATTTAATATTATCAAATTTAAATTCTCAAACATAAATATGTTTTTTTAATTAAAGCATTGTTAAGTTCTCTTTATCAAACTCTGAAATATATAATTTAATTTTATATTTTTCTCCAAATTAATATATTGTCTTTAAGATAGATTCTTCTATTATAATAAGCAATGTTATTTATTAAAAAAGATGGGGCAAATAATGTTAGAAAGGGAATATATTTTCTGAAGTTCTCGAATCGTGATAATTAATATGTATCGTTAGATAAAAATCCCAGATTGAAAAATATTAAATAAAAAAGAAGAATATTTTTTTCCAGAATATATTGCAGTGAATAGATATAATACAGTGAAGAGTAATTCGTAAAAATTTCATAAAATCGCGTCGCGATGTCCATAAAAGCTCGTGAAAATTCCCTCGAAACGCCCAACGATCGCGAATCGCCCGTCAGGGTATAGGAAACGTCAGAAACGACTCGGCGATTGCATTACCATACGCACGATCGTCGATATATCGGCCAGCCGAGTTAATACCGAAAAATGGGGTAATTTTGCATCTAGAATCGACGTGAGGGAGAAAGAAAGAGAGAGAGAGAGAGGGGGAGAGGAAAAGGGAGAGAGGAGGAGGGGACAGGAGGATTTCCTAGATTGAAATAAAGTGGCCATGGCACACTGGCTGCGCCGCGGCGGATCATTTAGCGGTTTTGTCGAGCGACGGCCAATTGCCGGCATTGTCGCTCCGCTGTACCACAATGGGCCAATCGGAATGTGCTCTATCTCTTTTCAGCATCATCGCCACCCTTCCGCCGGCGGCCCCACGCACAACCCTTCGCACTCTCTCTCTTTCACCCATGTGGATATATACAGTATACTATATGGAATATACCATATATATATATATATATATATATATATATATATATATATATATATTTGTATGTATGTGCGTACAAGTGTGCGTTTCCTTCCGAAATTATGTGTCGACAGTTTCTTTGTCGTACATCGGAATCAAACAATTGAATCGGGCGATTCCAAGGACGCACTGATTCGAGGATATTGGTTCTTTGAGGAAATCAATAAGAGGTTTTTTTCCTTATTCAACATCTGTCAAGAATCGTTACCGCATCATATAAGGTGCACTCGTTTCTTTTCACGTGGATACCATTTTCCAAGGTGTGATTAATTTAACTCAAACGAATCGTAATTATCAGATTGCAAATAAAATAATTTTCTTAATAACTTAATTATTAACTACAACTTTATCAGTAATTTCTATTTGCAAATTAGAATGTTTCTTGTATAATTACACACATATATATGTGTGTATAATTGCGAAAACTAATTTATTTTTAAGATAATATATATTCTAAAAAAGAGAAAGCGAGAGAGAGAATATAATTCTCTGCACATGTATGAAAAAGATGTCTACCAGTTATTGTGGATTGAAATACACCCCAACGCTGCAACGTACTTGAATTTTCAAGGATGCCGCTTTAAAGTAATTCCAAAGCAGATTACACTGTTCTCTATATGAGCAACCCCCTTCTGTGGAATTAATCATTGATAGATTCGAGACGAAGCGTGTGTTTCGCAAAATTACAGATGGAAAACGGTAACGGGAAATTTTACAATAGTCGCTAATTAGTTAAGTGACTCGCGCCTTGAGGCTGAGTCGCCCAAGCGCAATCCTACAAACATTCGAGGATGCTCGACGTTCGTTCAGAATCCGTCCTGCCTCATAAGATCCATACAGGAATTAATTTGCATGACGATTGTTGCATGTGAAAATCAATTTATGTTTATTACATGTTTACTACATTATATCTACGTACGCTAATCGCGATATCGTGTTATGGAGAAATCAAATTTATTCATACAGAGCAAATTTAAATTATAAATAACAACATGTGGCTGCTCAAACAAATTTTAAATATATCGATACGTATGACTTGGCATGTTACATTGCTCCGATTTTTCTTTCAACAGTGTCACGGTATGGCATTTTCTATATTTAACATGAAATTTATGTACGAGCTCGTAAATAGCCTTTTAAACTTCGTTCTGGCCGAATCTAAAGCTCGTTATTCAAACTACTTACAAAACTTGCGAATGCCACTATCAAATGCGTAAAATTCAGCGACACACGCGTGCCTTTCGGGCTTTGTGAATTCGTCTAGCTAAAGCGGCGAAAGGTTAATTATGCTTCTGCAACTGTCTCGTCGTCTGGCGAAATCTGGCCTGACTTCTTTCCCTCCTTCTCTTCAAGCCGCATTTGAAATATTCAAGCCGGTCATTGCGCGGAAATGGTATAAGCTAATCTTTTGAAAGTACTCGGTGATCGAGAGTATTGAGACTACATTTTATTCTCATGAAACGATATAAATAGAGAGAAAAGATACTAGAAGATTGTTCTAATATTGGACAATCTGGATTTATTACGTTTGTTATATTTTTATGGCTCCAGTAATTTATTTTTAAATATTTTATATTATATTTTCTTTAAAAAATGTCAAAAGTATTCTGCAAAATATTTTCCTTTACACGTTTTTTTTAAATAATTGAATCGCTGATTAAAAGTACCTGAACTCTCGCCTCTGAGAGGTCCAACCTCATTGCCAGCTCTTCCCTGGTGAACACATCCGGGTACTGCGTATTCCCAAAAGCTTTCTCGAGTTCGTGTAGCTGATAAGTTGTAAAAGTCGTGCGGGATCTTCGCACCTTGCGTGGTCGATCAGATTCACCCAGATTCAAAGGATCGTGCAACGCATCGTTGATCTGATGATCGCTCAAGTGACCGAGCTCCGTGTCACCGTCATCAACGACGGCGTCAGATGATGTCGCGTGATCTAAAATCAATGATACATAATCTTGAAAGCAATTTGAGGGTGATTTTATCCACTCGATATGATTTCTTGAAACATAATTTAAAATTTAATATTTAATAATATATAATAGTAATTTAAATTAAGTAAACATTAATAAAAGCTTTATTAAATTGTGTGTTTGAATAAATTGAGATAAATTTAATAAAGAAATTAAAAGATTTATGCCACACAAATTTTGCATTATTTTATAAAAATCCAATTAATCACTATGTGATAAACTTTACTTCATAAGTAAATAGTTTCTCACAAACATGTATATTGTCTGTGCTATCTTTATTAATTTACTTTCTATTAATGGGATGTGTTTGTAAAAAAACAATTTGCATTTAATTTTTTATACTTCATATCATCTGCATTAAAATATAATTATAATTATGTAATAATAATAATTTTCAACTGTACACAAGTTAAATAATGTAAATAAAACGCTGAATTTTATTTCCATTTTTATTCTTATCAATTCTTTCACAAACTATTCAAGAGAGCTATTATCTATTCGAAATTGTTTCCGATCGGAATGAGTCCGTTTTCCATCATTTAATCTGTTATAATATCCAAAACGATCGAAATGTTTCCGACATCTTACAAATGAGTAAATTCGAGGGAAATTCAATTTCGTTCGAAGTAAGATTACGAAAATTATCGTTGACAACCAAAGTATGATTGGCTAGAATGGATCTGAGATTCATAATAAAAAAAGATGGAATCGCCGATTCGAAAATTCACGTTTCTCATCGAAATCGTAAATAGTTACATAATAGAATGGAATTTCAAAGACGCATCTCTATTCTGCACTATAGATTCATATGTCAACGCGATTAACATGAAATTTTAAGATCGCTTTTGAGATGAAATCGTAGAATCGTTCATGACCGATCAAACTTTTCGCCCCGTAAGACGCGAGAAAATTTCCGACCCTTCACATTTATCGGCGCATTTCCGCTTGTTAAATACGTCAAATACGTCAAACAGTGCCTCCGATACTTGAGCGCGCGGGGAGACGATCGAGGCGATTAAACCATATCGCTTCGCGTTGCCAAAACGAAATTGTCGTTTTGCCTGATATACCGACTCTGGCGGCGGCGGCGGCGGCGGCGGCGGCGGCAACAGTAGCGGGGAGATACGGGCGCAATTTCATTTTTAAGCCGCACAACGACCGGTACCGATATAACCGATACGCCGATGACGTCCGATCGGCGGATTTGCCAATTTTTAAGCCTCGCTTCATCTTTTTTTTTCTTTTTTTTTTGTTTTTTTTTTGTTTCACCATCGCTCCATACATCCACCCCCGCGCGTACACGCGTGTACACGCCCGCGAAATACTCTACAAATGTAAGTGCGCACATTATACGTATGTGCTCGACAGTACTTAAAAGCCGTCGCTGTCAGTGATTAGCAAATATCACGAGTGCACCCTGCCCACCCTTCTTTCACCTTCTCCTCCTCCTCTTCTCCCTGTCACGATACAGCAACAGCCTTGCTGTGTAACCCCCTGTGCAACACATGCCCTTCCCGGCGATCGCATCCCGCCTAGTCCTCCCTCATATTTTTTACCATGACCACTCGTTCTGTCTTTGCGCGAACATCGACGAGGGCTTAAAGCCCTATTAGAGTAAACTACGCGTAGAAAAGATATGTATTTCGTTCGATTCGTGTTAGGCGAGAAATTAAATCGTGCCGCATGTCGACTTTATAACGGGAATCTCTCGCGATAAAATGGCTAAATAAATTTGCGAATAATAAAATGAATAATCAAATAAGACGATAGATCTTTGCGAAGAAGCAGTTATTTGATTATTAAGTTTGATTGTAGTTTACGTAAAATTTTCATTTATAATATATATATATATATATATATATATATATATATATAGAGTGTGTCCATTTTTTTACATTTATATTAAAATTTTAAATAATTGACGATTAATGTGTGGAGATTATTTTTCAACAACTTTGTTATAAAACTGACGACTCTACAACGTCCGGATCGATACGCGCAAAAATGTTTGAAAAACGCTCGTGCAATTTGCGCGAGATATTGTGCGAACGTTCAAATAATAACAATTCGGTTGATCTGCATGTAATTTCAAAAGGCACTTGACGCGTTAAAAATAAATCCATCGAGTTTAACGAGTTTAAAAAAAAAAAAGACGCAGAGAACGAACCATCACACTTGATGCGCTTGACGAGATGTTGCAAGGATGTCACCGGTTTGCGCGAGGGAAAAGTAGCAGAAATATCTCTCGGATTCCATAAAAATGCATCGCGGTAAAAATGCCACGGCAAAACTTGACGGGCGATAAAAATCGAGCATCGCGACAAACCTTGTTACACCTCTTTGACACCTGTAAGAAGTGATATATATACACACGCGCGTCACAAATTGCCGCTTCGATTTATTATTTCCCTTTGAATCTTTTGTCGCCTCGGTAATCTTGAAAGCGATACGAGCGATCTCCTTTCTCAGATTTTCTCATCTTTTGCAAGAAGCAACTTTCTATAGGTCTCTGACAAAAGTATCCCGCTTTTCATGCGGTCAAACTCGTTACTGAAAACTTCAAGTGGGACGAAACTAATACGTTTTTCTGTTTGAAAAAAAAATAAAAAATCTTGCGATCTAAGAATATTATGCGATTTAAGAATATTTCAAGTTTCTTATTAGATGTATCTTTTATTACTGTAACTTAAATGTGTAACTAAATATGTAATTTAAATGTATTTTTAAAAAATATCAACGGTAAAGAAAAAAATTCTATCTAATTATTAAAAAAATGTTAGATATAAGAATAATAAGAAAATATAAAATATAAATTATATATTACAATCATATATTAATAAAATACATTAATAAAATCATGTTATACATTAATCAAATATATTAATAAAATAATTTTTAAATGACGCTAAAAAATAATGGAAAATGATCTCTGTATTAAATTATTATAAACCAATAGAAGAGAAACTATACATAAATACATACATTGCATATATTTATTGCTTATTGAGATATGATTAGGTTTATATTGATGTTTACAACCACAACGCTCACTGATCTATTGATAACATTGACATGAATTGCATCCTCATTAGTTCAGCGAACTGGGCTAATTAAGCTCAGCTAATTGCATATCGCGCTTTAGATTAATGCATATAAATTGGATAAGGATCTGAGACCGAAGCAGCAATTACAAAGTTACAACGGTTCGCTACGACTTCGTCTACATCCGCTTATGCGCATACGCCCCGACTAATTTCATATTAAATTATAATCTGCTTCAAGAGTACGTTTCCGCGAAATCGCTTCATATTACACTATGCCACATCTTCTGAGAAATAATATATCTAGTTTGATAAACGTATTTCATTTCTATATATATATGCCACAAATTAATTTTAACTATCAACCAATCAGCTATTCGACATTAAATTATTATTCTAAAACACTTTATTTATTTAGCACAAACCTGAGTTGGCTGATTCAAATATAATCTAAGAAAATATTGTTGATCTTTCGTTGAAGAACATTTGCCAAAATCATCGGAGCTTAAACCATATCTCAGGTATTTAAATATCCGAGAAAGGAAGCGCTAATAATTACATTGTTAGCCGGAGCATATCGGCTGTGTTAATGTTTCTGGTTCCTCATTAGTTCAATTTATTTGTAATTCAGATTTATGTCATTCTGAGCGCATTAATTTACGAGGCTCGGCCAGCATCATGAGATAACCATTTCGCGTGAATGACCGTAAGATTACAAATCATTCATCCCTGTGGCGCGTATACATCCCGTCCAGCGCGTCTCCATTCGAACTAATTAGACAAGCATTTACTACTCGTGCGTAATAATGCTAATCCTACTTTTCGGTGTCGATACACAGCGAGCAGTTGTGATAGGATGAACTGAGAGAAACGATTGAAAACGTAAGCGTGCACATTGCCCGGCGGCACGTTATACGCACGTTATGTCTGTGTACACGCATGAGCTTTCGCACGCATACACGAGAGAGAGAGAGAGAGAGAGAGAGAGAAAGAGAGAGAGAGATCGTTGTACTAATCCAAGCTGAATAGAGAGATTTCAATGTTTTTATGCCGGGGCACAATGGAGTACCCACTTGATGCTTAGCTCTCCACTGCTTTTTATTAAATCTACGGTGCGCCGACGCCTGATGTGGACCAGGCCCAAAGTAGGGTAGAATAGGTAGGGATAGCCGAGAGGGTGACTCTCGTAGCAGCGAAATTAAAAATTTATTTACCGCGTCGATCGTGGGCACATGTCGCCCATCATTCCATCATCGATAAAATCGAAGAAATTATCGAGAAAATTGTCAATTGTTAATTTATAAGCAATTTATAAGGACAATCAGAGAAAGAATTCAACAAAATCCATAATTTATAAATACAAATTATTTTTATTAATTTATATTTATAAATATAAATATAAATTAATAACTATAACAGTGTATATGAAAATAATAATAATAAGGGGTGAATATAATGCACTCTTTTCTTACAATAAGGCTTTTCATTTTGAGTTATAGTGGACACTTCATATTCCTTTGAACTTTCTCGCCTACGCGCATAAGCTTTTTCCTAGAAAATTATTTTACCTTAGAGTGTCATTCCTACTATGGTATAATGTTTAAGCGTTTATGATATGTGACAACTTTTATGGATGAATTAAATCCTCTCTTTTATGAAGAAATTATTATAATATGGAAAATTAAATCCTTTCTTCTATGAAAAGATCATTATATTGTATAGAAATATATATTATAAAATATATAAATTATTTATATTATTTATCTAGATCATATTGCGTATAATGTAAAAAATATTTAAAGATATCAAACAAATATTACAATTAAGAAAAAAAAACAAAAATTATTCCTCGCAATAAAACTGTCTTGATGTAATAAAATTTCCTCTCTATGATGATCTTTTCAAAACCACACCTTTAATGCGAATACAGTTAGTCTCGGCAACTCTAAGTAGTCAATCTTGTCGTTTCCCTTCGGAAAGTTTCCCCTTTGAAAGTAATCAACGTTACAAAAGATAAGAAATCTTTCTTTCAACAGTTTCTTCTGACATGTATGTGTTCGAATTAGCAAATTTCATTTATTTTCGCAATAATTAGTATACGTATAACAATAGTATGTTTCAAATTTTGCGTCCAGATCTCGTTTTAGAAATAATCGTCCTTCCGGTAAGGCGCCTATGAGGATTATGCGTCTAAGCGTTAAGCGTTAAAAAGGATTTGTGATCTGTCCAGTCGACGAAATATACTTTCGTGAGACAGGAGCGGATTACAAGTGGCCGAGGACTTTATGCTGAAAATCTAATAAAATCCTTAAGAGGACTTACGTTAATACGCCAGCCGCGTATTCCACAAGATAAAATGCGACAAGATCACGTTTCAAAAAAATATTGTGAAGAACACGCATTTATGAAAATTTATAAAATACAAGCTTCTTAAAAGAAATATATTCTTTCTTTCTCTCTCTTTTATATAAAAATGTGTAATAAAATATAAATTTGTTATAAATATATTTTATATAGATTAGAAAAATATAACTATAAACACTTCCTTGTTCAAATTTATATATATATATATATATATATATATATAATATATATTTAATTAGAAACAATTATGTAATATAAAAAGCAATACATTATTAATATTTAGTGTAACCTCCTTTTGATTCATAAATTTGATTTGAATATTATATTTATAATTTTACGATATATATTGTTGTATTAGTATTCATTGTAATAATAATAGGAAAAATATATATAATGGAAAAATAAAATATTTGCGACCGTACAAAATGTCTTTGTAATCATGATTGCAAATTATATAATGCTACTGTGTTCTTTGAAAACTAATCGTGAATTATCATAAATATCGTAAATTATCATAATAGATACGTTCGAGAATATACAAACATTGCGAATATACATAAATTATATTTCTAATAATTTATATATTTATGATAGCCATTGTTACACATTGTTCATATGATTTCCAGCGTTTGCACGTCACGCGTAGCATTTCTATATTTGTACATTGCACACACGCATAGTAAGAGACAATATACATCTGATGTGTACACGCAATTTTGCGTGTCGTAACTTCGTGTTGTAAATTCACGTTATAGTTATCACTGATCACGTATAAATTAAAGACTAAGTAAATTCTCATTTTACAAAATGTATTTTTTATAAAAAAAGAAAAAAGCGCGAGCACAATTTAAGATAAAAGCATCATTGAGCCGATTATTTCAGATTATATTACATTGAAAGCAATGCTATTTTTCAATCATTGCAGTTGACAATCTAAAAATAGCAACGTACTTGCATGACATAGTAATTGTGTGTATATATATATATATATATATATATATATATATATATATATATACAGATCTAATATGTAAGAGCACTACTTTTTGTATATTTTAACATTTTGTATACTTTACATATTAAAGAATCATCTTTGTTTTAACAAAAATAACAAGGGAAATTATTATCTATTGTAATTATTTCTCTTATAAATTTCTTTTATATCTTTCTAATTAATTTTTAAGTTATAATTTTGCTCGAGAATAAAGTCATATTTAAAATTAAAAAACATTAAATTAATTTTAGATATAAAAATTAAGACCATTTTAGTTTTTATAATTTATAAATGTTTACTTATAAAGCTTAATTAAAAAATAACATTTTTAATTGTTTGTAAGTGAAATTATTGATTTCTCGAAGAGTGTATTTATCAAAATAATATGAATCTTAAAACATGATTCAGCAGATTTATTTCATGTATTTATAATAACACGTACACATAAGCTATATAAAATAAATTTCTATTTTATCTAGAAATATATTATATAACTCTCTTATATGTGCGTGTTATTATAAAAACATGATTTGAAGTTATTAAGCCTACTTTATTTAATTATAATACATACCTAATTAAATACCTAATTTTGAAAGAGAAAAGGAGAGAAGCCAGATAGAAAGTCAAGCATACATATTGATATCTCAATATCTAATTCATTTTTTATCGCAAGATCATATATACGATAACAGCCATAACTGTTTTAAATTCAAATCGATAAATACATAAGCAAGATAGAAAAGTTCGTGCGTTTAATAAAATCATGGGATAGTGATCGCCACGTTGTTCTATTTGTCCATAAGCCACGGTTGTAAGCCGGCTAGTAGCGAGTACACGTAATAACGTAGTTCTTTATAAACTCGATAACACGATTTATCATGCCGTGACGATTCTGCAAAGCGCATGCAACGAAACAATCCGCCTCTTCGTGCGCCTCTCTCCGCAGCCTAACCGCGCGCATGTCACACTCGCGTGTCGCACAACACCGTGTAGTAAATTCACGTTACACCGATCGTCGCCACAGATTCTGTAACCCACGACGACCTAATTACGTTACGTTGCCTTTAATCGCGCAATCCTAAAATTGACAATGTAAATCTCTAAGATACAAAGCTTTTTCTCGCACTGTCAAAATCTTCAACTTTTTTTGAATTATAATAAATAAGAAATAAAAGGCTCTAATATAAAATAAATCAATTCAAATAAGAGCTAATGAGGAAATAATTATTGCACTTGACACTCATTAGCTCTTATCCTTATTTGAATGTATTTATAAATTTTAATTCTCAATTTTTCGAGACTTGGAAAGTATATTCGTGTATGTGTATATGTATTTTTATTTATTATTATCTTTTTATAAGCAGCTTTTTATTAAAAAAATAAAAGAAAATTAAAAAAAATTTACACCTATTTCTTGCTTTAAAAAATTACAAATAGTATAGCTTATAATTAAGACAAATAAACATAATATACACATATTTTAATATATATTCTATAATATAATTTATATATAACAATTTTAATTTATATCTTTTTTTTCATTTTTACATATTTCTAAAAAAAATCAAAATTCTTTAATACACTCTAATAAACACTCTAAAAACTCCTAAAGACATTATGATTATAAAGCAATTTATGAATATATATCAAAATCAACCTTATTGTTAGTCAGCCTTAATGACTTTGAAAAAATGATTGACTGTCCTCCCTTCCATTTGGAAAATTATCAAACGATATAAATCTTATCTGAGAATACTCGCTTTTTATTCGCGACATTATATTGAAATAAATATATATGGAGAAAATGTGTGTAAATGTAAATGCAAAAATAAATGTATTTAAAATTTGTTTTGCGTGTGTATGTGCGATATATATCCTCTTATATGAACATAAATCAAACCTTAAGTAACATTCTTTTATTATACATTCGTTGTAATGTAAGCATCTTAAAACTTTAACAAAAAACTGGCATTTGTTGCTCACGCGTTTTTTATTCGTTCAATGTATGTTCATCTAAGGAAACTTCTTTCATTACAGTGAAAAAAAAGTATTCTCGTGTTGCTATCGCATTGCAATCGATCGGTGTATTGAAGTAATAAAAATTGTAACAGACTTCTTATCGCGATCTGATGACCATTATATGATTGTTAAGCGAAGATATGATTGTTTTATTATATTAAACAGCGTATATATGCGTTGTATGTGTATAAGTTTATATTGTATATATACATAATATATAATCTAGTAAATTATTTTTATTACAAGAGAAATATTTAATTTATAAACGTAATAAAAAATTTATTTTATCCAATGCAGTATGAGAAACACGATAAAATAAAAAATAATTATAAAATCTATTGTGGCAATTTCTTTATTGTCGCAATAATTTTTTTAATCTTATAAATGTATTATTATTATTACTCTATTAATGATATAAATTTATTATAAAAAGTGAATAAATGTATAATAATAAATAATAAATATATAAGAAATAATAAATGTAAACTAATAAATTTATATCATGATCGTTACTTCAAACAATAATTATCAAACATGTGCGATGTATATCAAACTTTTCCAATAAAAATGTTACACATTAAATCACAATTAAATTTAATAGTTTCTCTAAACAAATGTGTACATTTATTAAAATTAGTATACTTATCATTCTTTTTATATTTTAAAATTTCACTATTACAAACAGTAATAATGGAATATTAGATATTTTTAATTATTCTTTTTATATTTTAATTTGTAAATGTATTTGAAATAAACTAGGTTTATATGAATTTCATCACATTTTGATAATATAGAAAATATCTCCATAATTGAGAAAATTATAATTATTCACACACACAGATACGTTCCTAAAACTCTAGCAACTGACAAAGTTTTCTTTTTTTAGAAAAAAAGAAAATAGTTTTTATCATACCTTCATCTTTGCCATGACCCAATATTTGATCAATGCTGTACACATTTTTCTTCTGATTATATGTCTGAGCCATTCTAAGAAAGTCTTTCTCCACGAAAATCACTGACGTAAAATTTCCCGATATTCGCAAACAAATGGCAATACGAAACAGTCCTCGATCCACGAAAAAATCACTGGCAAATCATAAATTGTCTCCCGAGTGGCACGCGCGCAAATTGAATTTCCCGCCGAGTCGCGTGTGCTTTCGAGTGTGGTCCAGCCGGAAAAAAGTATGCAAAAAAAAGAAAGCGAGAGAATCTGAGAAGGATGTAGAATGAGGAGAAACACAAGAAATTGTCGAACGCTCCACGCTTCGTTCTCCACCTTCTCGACGGAAAATGCGTCAATCGACGGCGCACCACGAACTGGCTCGTCGGACATGAAAGCAGCCCTTAATATCGCGTACACCCGCCCCACCTTGCAACCCCTAACACCGCCATATTAGCCCCTCGACCAATGAAAGCGTGTGCTTTTCACCCAAAGCCACCCCGTAATCGGAGGCTGAATGAAGTCTGGGCGGGGAATATTTTGCCCTTTCCGCGTAAATCCCCGGATTTTTTCTGGCTCCCCTACCCGTCTCTCTTTCCCTCTCTATCCGCCCGCCCTCTTACCGTCTCTTTTCGTCCTTCCAACTGTTTTCTGTTCCTCTACATTCGATCCATCAACCTACGTGCATCTTCTTCATTCGTTCTATCTCTTCTTCCTTCGTCCCCTGCGTTCTCCATATCATATTCTATCTATTCCTTATCTTTTCTTAATATCCAATTTTTCTCCGATATTTCTTTTTATGCGGTTTTCTTTATATTCCTTTCCCTTTAGAAATGCGAAATTAGAATTCGATTATTACGGATAATTCGACACAACGATGTCATTGCATAATTTCATTTTCTCGAAGATCTTTAGTTTTATTCAATGTTAGGTAAAATTGTCACTTGTAATGAGACTTGCATGATACATGTTGCTTTACTTATTAATTCAGAATTGTTCAGCGTTTAAAAAAATAATTTTATTGTTAAATAATTCTCTGTACGAGTAAGTTAAGAGGAAAAAATAATTAATGCATTATTTATTTCTTTGTTTATGTACTGATTTGTTTATTAATTAAATGACAAGAACTCGATTTCATAAAATCTATAGTATCTACAATATCTATATAGTGTTGTAAAATGTGAAAACATGCAATATTGTTAATATTTTTCAATTTATATAATCTTTCTCAATTATTATATTATATCGCATATATCTTCAAAATTTAAGGAAAAAAATCTCAATAAGATAATACAACATCATTGACAAAAATTTGTAAAAAATACATCAAATTGTATCAATAATATCTAATAAGACCTGAAAAGACTGCAGGTATATGCGAAAAAATTTAAAGAATTTACGGTAAATAGAATTAGCATTAGCATTAGCATTTTGGATTAAAACGCCTCTTCACGATCATTATCCTGCTAATTCTAAGATAACATTCATTATGCACAAGCACAGAGATCCTAAATCAATATTCTAATCTTAAAGCCATTTTACACAATGGCTATGAATTCTCGTCCTTTTTAAGCTGCTAATACGAAAAGGTAACAGCTGACATTAACTGACAGTTATTACCAGAATAGAACTTATACAATAGAATACAATCGATTTCTTAATCGGATCTCATAATTGACTTAGGACTATAGGATTATAGTATATTAAGATAATGTTAAAATTTGCTGAGTTTATTCATCAGATTCGATACGCATTCACAATATATGACTTGTCGTATGGCAGGCGAATGGTCTTTATAAATCGTTTTCTCTAGATATAAATTTAACTTTTAAAATTAATATTTTTTAGTAAATGAACAAAAACACTGTTCAAAATGATAAAATCATATTTTTTTGTTAATTTCAAATAGTTATTTTGACAAAATTTTAATTTAAAACTTCGATGCGAAGATAATGTAAAAGATTGAAGTTAATCATAACAAATGATGATATGTTTATTAAGAAATATTGATTTCAAAATCAATCAAAAAAAATTAAGATTAAAAAAAGATTCAGTAATTTTGAAATATAATGTAAAAGAAATATTACATATATTATTTATAATTTTGTGTGCAATTATAGAGTATGTTAAATATTATAGAGAATGTCATATTATCATTTTCAACATTTTATTTTAATATATTAATTAAAAAAAAAGAAATAGTTGTGCATTTCTTAAAAGATTCATAAATTTAAAATCATTAATTTTTTTTTATCACTCATCATATAAAACATAATCTTTTGCGTTGAAGCAATTATTAACTCATGCCTCATTAGCAGAATCTAATCATCAAAAAATGGTAAAAGTTTATTGTATAGAAAAATTATTGGCATTTAATTCTTATAACATTGACGTTTTGTTTAAAGATATAATTTGTTTTATCACTCATGCGATATAAGGTTATGCATTTAGTTTAGTTGCTCGATAAAACGAGATGTCGAATCTCTGCATTGATCGTACAAAATGTTCGTCACCATCTGTATAAAAGCGTGGGTGTTTGATCTCATCTCCACTTGCCTCATAGTCAGCTTTATCATGCAAATATGGTATCGATACTCGGTTGTTGTGACGATAAAAAATAGATTTCTCAAAGTGCTACTTTCCGATATGTCGAATAAAATCAGAAGAATATATGATATGTATCCTTCTTAAGTATCATACAAAAATATACGAATACATGCTTCCATGCATGAATATATAAAATACAATTTATTTTATACAAAATCTGTGCAAAAATTAAAGTATGTATTTCCTTTAAGATATTTATTTATTTATTTATTATAAAAAGATATTTTTATCTTTTTATAAATCATACTAAATAAAAACAAAAGATAACAGCGAGAATATTTGAAAGGATTATAATACACAATAATTTGTAATAAGAAAAAAATTTCTCAAAAACATGAATCAGATGAGTGAAACATTAGCTCACATTAAAAAAAAAAGAAAGTCACGAAAAAAATGCCTAAAGGATTGTACAAACAGATAAATAATGAGTAAATAATGAGTAAGTAATATTGATATTTTTATCTGTATTAACCGGTATTAACAGTTTCAAAAAATTTAGATAATTGATTATAAATTAATAAACATTCCGTTATTAAAACTGATTATGAGTGAGAGATTTTCTATTATTAGAAAATAGTTTTAAGATGAGCATAATGGGAAATAAAAAGAATAAAATACAAATTTCTACTGTTTGACATTTCAACAAATATATGTTATAATAAAACGCGAATAAAATATTCTTTAATATTCGATTCGCATTCGTACCATTAGCTTACATGAAATAATTTTTCTTATTAAACATTTAAAAAAAGGCTTTAAATCAATTTAATTGTAAATGCATGAAAATTACAAAAAAAGCGCAAGAGTCATACATGACGAAATAATTTATACAAAGGTTAAATGTAGTAAGAGGCAAACTACAGAAAAACATAAAGGAAAAGCGCAAAAAAGTCATCTAAAGAAAGAATATAAGTTTGAAATACTGAAGTATAATTTTGACTTCTCCCACTTATTCATTATTTACTCGTTATTTATTTGTTGTACAATCCTTTTATGGGATTTTATTTGTTAATTTTCTTCTTTTTTAATGTAAACATTTCACTCACCTGATTCATCATTTATCCATATCATGTTTCTGAGAAATTTTTTTCTTATCAAATTATTGTGTATTATAATCCTTTTAAATATTCTCGCTGTTAAATGCAAAAGTTTTAACCACGTAATTTTTATGTTTGTACGAATTATATGACGATACATAAATTAGAAAAGATAAACTATTGTTTCTAAAATACTTGCGTCTTTGAAATGCATTTCTAAACGTACAAAATATGTATTAAATAAAGATATGATTCTATGAATTGAATAAACAAATCTTATTCGCTGGTTTCCTTCGAATCATTTTCTATATGAGAATTTATTATATTTTTTATTTCTGAGATAAATTCAATGTATCAAATACATTATCAAATATTATATTTTTCCGTGTAACGTTTCTTTCTTATATTGCAAAATAATTATTTCTTAAGTAAATTATATATTTAATTATATAAATGGATAGACATAATAAAGAAGAAAATAAATAAAAAATTTAACATTTTTGAAAATTGTATATGAGAAATATTTACTTAATTTTATATGAGTCATTAAAATATTAGCTCATATTCAGAGTTTGAGTATTCAGACTGATTACCCCTTATTCAACTTTTAAAATTCACACACCAGATTCATAAAGATCTGCTGCAATCATTTCATTTTTTAATTTTTTCCAAACATTTGGAACAATTATAATTTATATGTATATTAAATTTTAAATAAATTATAATTATAAAAAGTAAAGTAATTCTAAGCAATTAGTGTTTTTTTAAAATCATATGATAATAAATCGTATTATAATTAATTTTATATACATAATAAATATAAATTTGATAATACAAAATTATTTGATATAAAATCACTTTGATTAAAACACCGATACATTATTTCAGATCCACTGTTTTCATTTAAGAAAGTATTGTATCTCAAATGTTGTATATCAAATTTTATTCTTTGTGAATTATTTATACAGATATGAAAATTTGTTTTTACAATCTCCTAATAATATTTATTTAAAAGATATAGTTAGAAGACACGTTAAATATATTTTAAATGAATAGAAGTAATCACGATAAATTAATATTAATTAATGTATTAATTATAACGTTACTTTTTATAACTGAGAATTAAAAGAATATAAATAATATGCAATTTATTTCTTATGCTTGGCTTATGATTGCTTTGATTGCAGTACATCAATAATATATCAAGCGCGCTTTTAATAAACTGAGTGATAAAACGCTTGAAACTATACCGATATTATAATTACGTACATGAGTAACTAATATGTATGAAATAAATTTATATAAGCAACACTAAATTTATATATATATATATATATATATATACATATATATAATTTGTACGCGATAAGATTTTAGTTTTTATTTGCTATTAAATTTGATCGAAGCCCAGCGATGCTCACTTGAGCCTTTTTAGAAATTAGAGATAAAATAATATGAAAAGAAGATAGCCAAGATTCAAGAAAAAAGTTCGAAACATTAATAAGATGCGAGATATTTTGTCAATTGACGAAGTCCAAGTTTTCTATAGGATTCAAGGAATTATGATTATTGGTTATCGATCGTATCCTTGCGGATTATTTAGGTCAGGAAATTTGGGACGTCACAGATAAGACGCTATATATATATATATATATATATATATATATATATTGACGCGATATATGTATATTGAATATCTCAGGTTCCAATTTTTCTATTGAAATTTTTTTATTCTATACAAATAGAACGATTATGATTATTGGTTATTGATCTATGTTTTCGCGGGGATATTTTTTAAATTATTACACATTAACATATATATATATATATATATATATATATGCAAAGGATTTCTGTTATCTTTATTTTTACTCCAAATGACGATTTTTAATATTTTTATAATATATACATACTCGTACACTCATAATGAAAAATTCATTGAACAGCGAAAAGATTGAAAAACTAACAGCGCGTTTTCTGTTTCCATGTCAAAAATTATTACAGTCATTCAACGCCGTGCGTCTAGGAAATATATAATGTTTCAAAATTTCGAGAACATTGCCTAAAGGCATCGATTTTCAAAAATAAAACTGGACACATAATGACTTTTAGGTGCATTATGAATAACGCCCTTACTTAAGAAAGAATAAAACGATACACTACAAAAAAAATAAGTCGAAAAAAGAAATAGAACACCGAATT